TATATATATATATATATATATATATGTAAACATATATATACGGCGCATTGGTCAGGCATCTGCACGGTCTATGAAGTGAGACCCTTGTTAGACAAATATTTTGAAAAGATTTTTGCCCAGTCTATGGATTGTGTTTTCATTCTCTTCATAGTGTCTTTCATAAAGCAGAACTTTTTAATTTTAGTAAATTTCCAACTTATCATCAATTTTTCCTACATGGATTTTGCTTTGGTTGTCATATTTAAAAGTTCATTGTCAAATCCAATGTCACCTAGATTTTCAATTATATTTTCTTCTGGAAATTTATGTTTTGCATTTTACATTTAGGTCTATTCTTGAATTAATTTTTGTAAAAGCTATAAGATTTGTGTCTAGGTTGATTTTTTTTCTTCATGTACACATCTAATTAGTACACATCTAATTGTTCCAGTGCCATATGTCAAAAAGACTGTTTTTCCCTTTGAATTGCTGCTCCTATTTTCAAGATCAGCTAACTATATTTGTTTGGGTCTATTCCTGGACTCTCTATTCTGTTCTGATCTTTTCCAATGTATGTTTCTATTATTTCACCAGTATCATGCTGTTTTGGTTATTGAAGCTTTTCAGGTTGCTTTTTAGGGAAAATACACAGAATAGTATCTGCCCTTAGTAAGTACCTGCCATGTGCAAGACTGACTGAAAGTTGAAGTGTGGATTAAAGTCCTGAACTGGACTCTTAATTTTGAAATGAGACTGTGTTTTGTTACTTGACTGTGGCAGTGTCTATTACCTTAAAAGAAATAGAAAACTCATGAAAGCTGCTGAGTTTTTACCTAGTGCAGGGGCAAAGCTGCATTCACCAAATAGTTTCAAAGGGCATTGGGGAGACAAAACTAAAGTCGAGTTTTAAAAAATATCTCACTTAATGAGCCTATTCACCATGTGTCTAAGATGTAATTATGTTAGAACATAGAACATTTAAATAGTTATTTCATTGGTTTGGGTTAACATAAGGCAAATCATGTGCTTTCAAACATTATAAATATATCCAGCAAGCAAATGCTTGATATGTATCACAAAATATAAGTTAAATTATAAGTACTAATTCTATTAATATTTTCTGGTATCATTTCAAAAGGAATTATATTGTATTTTCTTAATATTATATTACTATAACCCAACTAAAATGTAAGTAGGTCCAAATAATGTTTATGTTTTGTTTTCTTAAAAGTATAAATTGTACGTTGGCTTAATACCATTACAGTCTATTAATTACCAGCCATTTCTCAATGTTTTTAATTTTTCTGAACTGTGAGTCTAACACATCAATTGTGCCTTACATTGTATAGCACAGTTATTATTTAAGGAACTTTCTATCATCTAAATTTATGTCTGAGATAAAATTATAATGTGCACTTTTGCTGCAGTTAGAGGATGTCATCATTGGTACCGTTGTGAGGTGCTTATGTAAACTTCACTGTTGCCTATAACTGCCTTTGTCCAATGGAAATAATGTCAACCATTAAGAACTGACCAATCATATTAAAGTCGCTCAGAAACTAGTAAGCATTTGCTCAGTAACCTTTATGATTATTTTACATTTTTCATGTTTGCATTTCAAAAAAAAAAAGATATTGTTGGAATTCACCTCTTTGTGGAGATAAACTTTTTTAAGTGAGAGTTATTTAGCTTAGATGATAACTTTTTTGATAAATATTTTAGGCTTTCTGGGCCATACAGTCTACGTCTCAACCGTTCAACTCTGCCATTGTAGCATGAAAGCAATCATAGATTATATGTAAACTAATGAGTTGTAAACTAATCAGCTGAGTTCTAATAAAACTTTATTTATAAAAACCGCCAGCATTTGGTCTGCAGGCTCTAGTTTCAGCAAACTGGCTTAGAGAATAGAATGTCCACTTCAAACTTTTTCTTTGTTTCAAAGTAAGTGGAATTAAATAAATGCTAGTAGGCAACTTATAAAATCTAGTATGGAGGGCCGGCTGAGTGGCGCATTGGTTAAGAGCTGGCTTGGGACACCAGAGGGCCCCAGTTCAGATCCCACATATGAGGGCCAGTGACACTGCCCTCTACAGCTAAGATGCTGAACAACAGCTCAACCTGGAGCTGGGCTGCCGTGAGTCGCCGGCGATGGTAGGTGAGTTGCAATGGGCTACCGTGTGTAGCCAGCAGCCAGTGTGAGTGGCCAGCAGCCACAGTGAGTGGCCGTCCAGAAGCCGGCGACTGATCTGCCTCGCCCGGGAAGAGTGCAATGATGGTGCCAGCTTGGGCCAGTGAAGCAACGTCCTTCACAACTAGACTGAAGAACAAAAGGACAGCAACTTGTCTGTTCCCCTTCCCCCAATTCCCCAGCACTGTTCCCATCCTCCCAATTCCCCAATAAAAATCTTAAAAAAAATAAATAAATAAAATCTAGTATGGAATAGTAATGACAGGGATGCTTTTGCTATCTGTTTGTCAGGAGTCCTTTTAGAAAATTTCCCAAGTACCAGAATTTTACCTGAAATTTTTCAAGAGTA